TTTTTTTTTTTTTTTTTTTCTATTGAGAAGGGTCTCCTTATGTAGCTCTAGCTGGATTTGAATTTATGTAAGTCAGGCTGGCCTTGAACTATAAGTGATGCTCCTGCCTCAGCCTCCCAAGTGCTAGGGTTACAGGCATGGGCCACCACACCCAGAATCCTCACACCCTTTTTGTCCAGAGGTCTTGCCAGGGGTCTGGAGCCCAGCACAGTGCCATGGGAAACACCAGGATTATAAGGCTGCCTCTCCCCCTGGGCTTTGCCACTTAAGAGCTGCGGTCCTTGGGAGAAGCCACTTTGCTTTAGGTCCATCCTCCCCCACCCCCCGTCTATAAAATGGGATAATAACAGCTGCCCAAGGGGACTGCACAGGGTTATTGGAAGTTCCCATGAGATAATACATGGGGAAGGTGTGTAAAAGGTAGAAGCGTGTACAGGTAAGGCAGGTAAGGGTGTTATTATTTAATGGCAGGGGGACCTGGAATTAAGCCTGTCATACCTGCTGGTTCCCTGGGTATTCCAAGCTGCTCTTTCGTGGACTGTATTCAGCTTGACACCAGAGGACTCAGTGCCAGTCCTTCCCCCATACCCTCTGGCCATCCTAGTGACAGGACCCAGGCTCTCTAGGAGGGGGCTTTGCCAAGGCTGGCAGCAAGGACCATTAGCTCTGTGATTCTGCCCTTTGGGGTCTCGCGCCCAAGAACACACACAGATGCTCCACAGCTGGGGCGCCTGCGGTTACCGCCTTTCCTCTCTTGCTCAAAGAAGGGGCCCTACCTCCAGCTCCCTCATCCTGCTTCCAGTGTCTGGGGGCAGCAGGCTGGGGGACTTGGGGAGCCCACAACCGGCCCCCACCCGGCCTCCTCTCCTGCCTGAGCAGGCGCAGCGCTCGCAGCCTTCCTTCTTTTGCCGCCAGGTTGTCTGCAAGTTGGACCTCCCAGCCTCACGGGGCAGTTGTTCGGCTGCGAACGTCGCGGCTGCGGCGCTGCGGCAGGGACGAGGCCCAGGAGGCGGCGCCATGTGAGTCCCTGCCGGGCGGGCGGCGACGGAGGCTACCGTATTTACCGAGGCCAGTGCGGGACCCCGAGGGGCGGGTCACCGCGGGCTGCTACCGTATTTGCGGGAGCCATGCGGTCCTCGCCGGGAGCGGCGGTGCCACGGGTTAATTGTGTTTACCTAGGATCGCGACAAGGGTCATTTTGGGGCGCTGTGGGCGTGGGGGGAGGTGGCATAGGTCTCCCCAGGAGCCGGGGCTGCAGCTGGACAAGGAGGGCTGCTGCTGGGTGGCAGCCCAGGAGTCTTCGTGGGGGTGGGGCTGCGACGCACGGGGGACCTTGTAGCTCCAGATCGCTGCGGGCCGTAGGAGTTGGCGCAGCTGTGCGCGGGGTCTGCGGAGTGCGGGGAGAGCTCTGGATTTGTGCAGCTGCTCCGCCATCGCAGGGTCGCGGGAGGCTCCCGTCTTTATGGGGGCGGGGAACCCGGGCGAGGGAGTCGCTGCGGGAGCCGCACTGTGTTTGCGTCTCACAGCGCGGACTCTAGAGGAAAGCGCCGCCGCTGGAGACCCTGGGAGGAGCCGGGGCGCAGCCTGGGCTGTGAGTGTAGCCGGGAGGGAGAACTTGAGGGAGGGACAGGGCTGTGGCCTTGGGACCCCGGGGAGGGCGGGGCCTCAGTCAGGGGTACAGCGGGGAGAGAGGGAGAGATTACCGGCTGCCTGGCCAGGGCCAGGCCGAGGTCGATGGAGGGACAATCATGGTCCATTTTTGCAAATGTCAGCGGAGCTGCCTGCGGAAAGACTTTTGGGTGGGGTCCTTGGCCAGGGTATTTGTCCTTTACCCAGGCTGAGTGAATGCCTGTTCCCCCTGGCTTGAAGGTCAGGGAAGACACATGGGGTGCCTCTGAGAGCCCACTCTGCAGGTGCATGAATGAGGCTGCAGGAGCAGAGAGGGCCTGCAGAGCCTTCGAGAGGGTCAGCGGGCCAGCCTCCCTGATGGGGCTTGGGATGAATGGAGCCCCCATGCCCGGGAGTTTTTTTTAAGTGTATGGGAGTGGTGGCATTAGATAGTGCCTCTATCAGGACAGTGGCCTTTTGGGAATGGATGACCCTACAATGGCAGGAATGGGGGTAGCAGGCTCCTCTGTGTGTGTGTGTGTGTGTGTGTGTGTGTGTGTGTGTAAGGATGCCAAGTTGGTGAGCAGCTAGTACACTGAGAAGAGCTTGCAGCAGTGAGTCATGAGACTTAGGGCCTAAGTCACCTTGCTGTGTGACCTTGGGCAAGTTTGTTGACCTCATTGGGCCTCAGTTACTCCACTTGTAAAATGGGGCTTGCTCCCCTGCTCTGCTCCTTTCTCGGGCTGTTACAAGGACAGTGGGAAAGGATTTAAGAGGGTTGCCGTGATCTGGGAAGGGCATCCTAGGAGGATGAGGGGAAAGGACCCAAGTGCTGGGCTGTATGTTGCAGTTTGAGTGCTCTGAGCATGTGGCTCAGCCTGAGGCCAGGCTCTGCTCTGGGACCCCAGGAGGAATCAAGCTGAGAATGGGCCTCCATCCCACACTCTTCAGTACCTTGAAGCCTTTTAAATCCAAACCCCATTATGATACAGGTGTTGATTTAAATGTTTAAGTCAGCAAAGTCCTTTCAAGTTTAAAGGATTTTGTTTTTGTGTTTTGCTGGAAGCTCTGCAAAAATGTCTTTATACCACCCGTGACCCCACCCTCCCCTCAAGCTTTGGGGTGCACTTCTCTTGCCTATCCTTGAGAATCTGGTTGGAGATAGAGGATATTTTCCAGGTGAAAGATTACTGAAAATACCCAGGGCCCATGAGTATTCCTTTCTGCATGTGTTCCATGCCTTTGTGTGGCAGCAGTGCTCGGCGCTCCAGTTAGAAGGTGGCACTGTCGTGATGATGACAGTCTCAGGGTTGGGATAGCAAGGCTCAGAGAAGCTAGAGGAGTCAACGAAGGCTTCTAGGAGAAAGTGGCACTTCAGAAAAGTCCAGGGTAGGCCGTGATTAAGGAGTAGAGGGCCGGCAAGGGGAAGTCTGGAAGGAAGAAAATTGTATCAGAGGTTGAAGGAGATGAGTGACCCCTCCGGCTGGGGGTTGGCTAACCCTTTGGTCCACTCTGACCCTTCTCTTGCTTCTGTCTCTCTAGGGTCTCGTGATTGCAGCTGGAAGCGCCCATGACCGAGCTGGTCACCTCCGAGGACGGATCCCCTGTGGGGGACGTGGAGGAGGGTCTGGGGGACGAACGAGGCCTGGTTATCCACCACCCTGCAGAGGAGCAGCCTTACCGCTGTCCACTGTGCGGCCAGACCTTCTCGCAGCAGCCCAGCCTGGTACGGCACCAGAAAGCGCACGCCGGAGCAGGGCGCACAGCCGCCTTCGTGTGCCCAGAGTGCGGTAAGGCCTTCAGCGTCAAGCACAACCTGGAGGTGCACCAGCGCACGCACACCGGCGAGAGGCCCTTTCCCTGCCCCGAGTGTGGCCGCTGCTTCAGCCTCAAGCAGAACCTGCTCACGCACCAGCGCATCCACAGCGGCGAGAAGCCGCACCAGTGCGCGCAGTGCGGCCGCTGCTTCCGTGAGCCGCGCTTCTTGCTCAACCACCAGCGCACACACGCGCGCATGCCAGTGCCACACCCCCGCCGCCCTGGCGTCTTTGGGGAGCGGCGACCCTACTTCTGCCCCCGCTGTGGCAAGAGCTTCGCGCGCGAGGGCTCGCTCAAGACCCACCAGCGCAGCCATGGCCACGGGCCGGAGAGCCAGGCGGCTCATTTAGGCCACGTACTATGATCTGTGCGCCATCTGTTACCATAGGCCGTCTCTGGAACCCGATCCATGTCTGGGTCTCTTGGAGATGGCACTGGGCTGTGTTCCCCGCTGCGGCTGGGCGTCTGGGCAGGCTTGGGGTGTATGAGGGGCTGCCCCCTTTCTCTCCTCCCCCAGGGCCCTCCTTTTGGCTGGGCTCACACGCGTTGATTTTGCTCTGCAGGCTCCTGCTGCTTGGAGCAGGTAAGTGGGTAAACTCCGCAGGTGGGATTCAAGGGTGGAGTGTGTGGTGTTGATTTTCCATATCTGGTGGATGTCCTGGGCAAGCAGATCGAGCAGGTCTCTGTGTGACTCGCTGCTTACGAGATCTTCATTCCCAGAATGTCAGAGTTGAAAGCGTCTTGGAGAGGGCAGCTTGCCACAATTCCCCAGGCCCAACCTCAGCCCTCAAGACCTCCTGCTTCTGGCACCAACTCTCTGGTGTCCTTGGGAAATCATCCCACTTCATGTCTCAGTCTGCCCATCTGAAAGTTGGGGATAGAGAGCAGAAACTCCTCCTCCTTCTCTCTGGGATACAGTGAGGATTTGCCTGAGAGGGGTGACACCACTTTTCCAAAAAGCTTTGGCTGAGAACTCTCTGTCTGCCACCTGCTGTGCTGTGTACCACTCTGGGAAGAGCCACAGGTGAGGACCCCAGGTGCTGATACCCGTGTGTGACCAATGCATAACCAGTGCCTACTGGTGGGCTATGCAGTAGGGACAACCTGTAAAATGCTCTGGGACCAAAGGTGGCTGTCTTCACCAGGGGACTCTGATGGATGAAGAGGAAGCATATGCAGGGATGATTTCAAGGAGAGGTTTCCATAAAGGAGGGTCAAATATGCCTTATAGAGGATTTGGTGGTCAGGGGAAGGGACATCTGAGCTTTTAAATGAGAAGCACACAGTGATCTCAGAACTGAGGCACTAGAAGGGCAGGTAGAAGAGCAGGAGCTTTGGGGTGATCTGAATGAGATTGAAATGAGGCCCTAGCTAAGATGTTTGTCCAGGGCTGTGCAGTGACAACCAGGAAAGCCAGGACTTGTCCCTAGGACCTCTGATTGGAAGTTGTTATCCTGGGTTGGAGGCCTCAGCTGCTGTTCAGCAGATGAACCCAAGGATTGCCTGAGCTTTCTCCAAATCACAGGAGTGCTTGGTGGGACAGTGGGTGAAGTCAGGGCATTGTTTTGGATTCTGGACCCAAGTGACATTTACTGCTGAAAAGTGGAAAATTATGCTGGGAGGATTTAGGCATGTGAAAGGAGCCTGGGCAGGGGCATCTAAGGGCACGCAGAGGAAAGATACTGGCACTCTGAGAGGACCTCTGCTCCCAGAGCCCTCCCTTCAGGCCCAGGCCTGTGCTAAGTGCCGGAGACCCATCCCTGCCCTTTGCCTGCCACTCCCAGTGGTTATCACAATGAGGACATGTGTTTGGTGGCAGAGAATAAGATTAAATAGGGTGCTGGGGCATCTGGAGCAGTCACCCAAGTGCCTAAGGATCTCATGTGTAAATGGGTTAATATCTGCCAGTGATGGGGAAGGGGCTGAGAAGTCTTGCTCAAAGCTGTGGCCAAATCCAGGTTAGGCCACCTGAGGGTCCCTCCTAGCCCCAGTGGGGGATGGAGGCTGGGGTGGACAGGGCCAGGCACAGCACCAAAGCTGATCTTGATCTCTTTGTTTCTGTGAACAGATTCAGAGCAGGCACAACCTTTTGACCCAGGAGGCGCAGGGCACATCTGGGCACAGAGACTAGGAATCGAGTCCCATAGTGGCCTGACTGATGCTGTACCCTGGCCTGAGGACACATCCCCTAAGAAGACCAACTTCAGGAGGTGCCCTGCAGTGACTGGGAGAAGTTACCTGATGGAGCCTGGGATGAGAGGCTGATTCCTGATTCCAAGTCCTGATGGGAAAACTCCCCAGGCCCTGTGGGAGTCACAGCTGGGCAGGTCTCCTCCATGTGCCTGGCACAGACCCCCAACTCTCATGTGGCAGCAGCAGGGATATAGCACCTGAGTGGAGAACTGGCCTCTCTGCTCCTGCCTGGTCCACCCTTGGCTAATGTTCAGAGACAGGAGGTGACTATCCTAAGCCAACACAGCAAGTTGGTGTCAGATCTGGCTCTAGAGGCAAACCCTCCCACCACAAGTGAGCCACATGAGCAGGCTTCATTTTCCTTTCAGAGCCAGAAAGGTCTTTAATACCCTAGGGTCATTCAGCCCTTTGAAAATCTGTGGAAGGGTTATGGACCTTGTCCCCAGAAGAACAAACATACCCAGCCACACTAAAAAATTCCAAGCAATTTCAGGAGCCCCTGAGCTTGACTAAGAACCTCAGGCAGGGTTCTTCACCTGCCAACCTTTCCTCACTGAGCCCGAGTGAGGCCACCATACAAATAGCATTTCTCTGGCCTCCTTCCCTTGTGAGGGAATAAAGAATTCTGAGGTGGAAACCTTTTTAGTGACTCTCTTCTCCCAGACCTAACAGTATACCAGGCTTCTAGAACCTGATTTCCTGTCCCCTGACATCATCAGAGGTTCCCTGGGCTGGTTTGTCTGCCTAACAGGCTCCTGGTTTGCGTAGTGCAGCCCTCTGCTTGGCCCATGCACAGTGAGGTCTTGGGGGAGTCGGAATGGGGAGAAGGTCGGGGTTCAGGCTTTGACCACCCCAGAGAAGGGATCCATGTTCCCCCAACCACACCCAGACAGTGCCTCCTGCTCCCAATTGTGCAGCCCCAGGCAGGCACTGCTGGGAAAGCTGGAGAGGAAGAGGGTGTGAGCCCTGTGTGCTTGTTGCTCTGGACAGTTTGAGAAGCCAGTAGGTGAACCAAGTGTCCCCCGAGGGGACAGGGTACAAGTGAAAGGGAGCAGGCCCCGGGCCAGCTGCAGGATATGGAGTCACCTTCACACCTGAGCAGGTCAGTTTAGAGCTACCCTGCATCCTGTCTCCTGAGAAGGACCCAACCATCAAAAGGTAGGACTTGCAGGGATGCGAAGGAAACCTGTGGCTTCCTGCCCTGAGGTCTTGCTGGTCCTCTCCTGTGGATCTGGTTCCTGGTTCTTACTGAACACCTACTGTGTACCTCATCCTGGGATTGCAGATGCCCTGGGAGATGAGAGAAGCTGGAGGTGCTCCACACCCCAGAAACATCCACGTGGCTCCCATCCTTGGCCAAACTCAAGGAAGCCTCAGCTATGCACCCCTTGTTTGCTGATGTCCAGCTGGCCTCTTCCCTGCCACAGCTGTGCTGTGCCTTCCCTCGTGTTTCTGAAATGGGCCCCTTTCCTGCCCTCCCGGAGAAGCCCCCCTTATCCACCAGGGCTGAGCTTCCCCAGCACCTGGCCATGTTCCTTCCTTCTTTGAACAGTACCTGTGCTAATGCATTGTGTCACTCTCAAGTACAATGTGCTGTCTTGTCTTCTGGTTTCCTCTGTGTCTCTGTGTTATGTCTCAAATCCCCAACCAGACTGTGAGCTCCCTGAGGGCATAGGACCATGTACAGGGCTAGGCTTCTCAGTCTCAGAAAAAGCTTGTCAACTGCCTGATGGGGGCCCGCTTTGGGGTGGGGCTGAGGTTTGAAGGGGAGAGGGTATGGGAGTTAACTAGGGGGTGCATTTTACTGGGCCACGGATGGGCTCCCCTGGGTCAATCATGGGTACATTCCCTACTTGGGGGCAGTGGAAGCAGGAAGGACCTCCACCCAGGCTGTGCAGGTATGCATGTACATGGCTGTCCAGGTGGGCTATTTCTGGAGGTGACCAATACCTCCCAGAGCTCACTGAGTGGAATAAATGTTCTCGACAACAGCTGGTGTGAAGAGTGGTCCTTGGAGGCTTAGCTGGGAGCAGAGCAGTGGCCTCTATCTCAGCCCCCCTCTCTTTGGGAGGTCAGGTTCAAGGTAAGTTGGGGGTCAGTGACAATAGAAAACATCTATCAAACACCGCAGCAATGAGCACAGGCTCCTGCATCTGGGGTGCTGTATCCTCGTAAAGCACACAGGTGCCAAGCATGCCCCCTCCTCCTCCTGCCCAAAGGGGGATCTGCTTCACAGCCCAAGACTCCTGCAGCCTAAGTGCCGAATGGTGACCTTGTGCCAGGCTCACCTGCCACCAGGTGGCCACGGGACTCAGTTGTTGACAGGGAGAAGCGGGTCCTGGCTCCAGCTGAGGCTTACTCCAGCCCCTTGATCGGGGGCTTCGCTCTCAGATTTTCAGCTGTAGCCATTGCCTCCTTTGCCCAAGGAGGGTCAGGAGTGACTGTCACTTGAGGACAGTGCTGTTATATTGAAACCTGGCTTCCCTGGGGCAGAGGTTGTGAGTCAGGTAGGGCTCATGTTTTATTCAAGCTGGCTGAAGCTGCAAAGGGCAGTTACGGGCTCTTGTGACTGAGGCACTGGCTGGAAGGCGAAAAGGACCCAGACCCTCTCTCCTCACCTCTGGTCACCTCCCCTGGCAGAAAGAAGCAGCAGGGCTCTGCCCTCTGCCTGCCTGGCTCCATTCGTTTCCCTGGTGCTTCTGAGACAGGTGCAGGCCTGCCTGTCATTTGCCGAACTGAGATTTCACTGAGATGCCATCTGCTTCCACCTCCCTGAGGAGGGCTTTTGGTTCAGGAAATCCAGTGACCCTGCTGTCTGAAGGCAGGAGGAGGAAATGGGGTTTTTCTCCTGAGTGAGTCTGTGCGGTGTAGAAATGAAGAGGCTGCTGCCTTCCAAGGGGACCCAGAGGCCAACTGCAGTCACCACCCCACATCAATAGCAACACTCGCCTGGCTTTCTGGGAAATTTCTGGGGTGCAGAACTTGGTACAGGAAGGGAAAGATGAAGGACCAGTCCTGGGCAAAATACCAGGTGCTTGCACAGCAGAGCCTGGCCCCACTGTGCACGCTGCTCCACTTCGTGTCTCCACCTCCTACACGTCCTTCAACATCTCCAAGCCTCCCTGTCCTCACCCCAGTCATGCCCACGTGAGAGGACACTGCAGTGGATGCACTTGGTGGCCTCATCCCTTTTCCAGCTGTTGCATTGGCTGCTAATGGCTCACAGGCGCCCAGCCTGGGTGCTACCCCAGCCTCCCTGGTGGATGACAGTGACTTGGGGCTGGTGCGGGAACTCTGTAGTGCAGCTTCTGCTCAGGGCTCCCCTGAGGGATTAGATAGAAACTGGTCTCCTGCTGAGATGCCGCCCCACTGGCCTCTGCACTGTCTGTGTGGTGCAGTCACTCCCCTTCTCCGGCACCTTCCCGACAGTTGACAGTTTGTGAATGTTCGCATTGGGCCTGCTTTTAGGGTCCCAGCCTAAGGCATCATTTTTGAAGAGTACCAGCTCCAAGCAGCTTGCCTGGCCATTGATGTGTGACTGGCCTCTTGGGTGGTTGTGTGATGCTGAGCTACCCATAGGTTCATGGATTGCAGGTGACCCTTTCCAGGCTGGTGGACCCAAATGATAGCAGCCCCTTGCTATCTGTACATAAGTGTATCTCAACTGGAGACCAGGGACAAGTGTCTAGTTCCCAGGTCAAGGGTTGGGATCTAGTCCAACCAAGGTCCTTACCCCTTTGAGAATCAGTTTGTTTGTTTCTTTCTTTGAAGACAGTCTTACTATGTAGCTCAGGCTGCCCTTGAACTTGCTGTAATCCTCCTGCCTCAACCTCCCAAGTGCTGGGGTTACAGGCGTGCACCACTACTCCCAGCTTGAGGCTCATTTTCTGATCCCTGAGCAGAGAGGGGCAGACTAGCTGACCTCTGCACCCCTGGGCTATTGGTGGGCTCTGTCCAAGGCCTCTGGGGACACATGGCAGCCCTTATCTGCTTTGCAGTCAGGTTGCCCTCCTCCTCGGGTTTCTTTTCCCACAGGAGCCACCATCTCTTCTCTGAAGCAGAGAGCAGATGCTTGGTGACCTCAAACTTGGGTCCCCCCCTCTTAAGCAGGAGCTCTGCAATTTCTAGCAACAGACTCAAAATCACCTTGGAGCCGAACTTCTTTGTTTCTGGAAGGTCATGTCTTTTGCATTTCAAGAGATACAAAAAAGGATCCATGCCCTATTTTTGAACTGGCCTTGGATTCATGACGGGGTGCAGATACAAATGCTCCAGGCCTGCAGACTGTGTCTACTTCCAGATGTGAATTGAACCTGGGAACTTGGAACCTTGGGCTCGTGAGGCAGGCAGCAGAACCACTGAGCTAAATCCCAGGCCCTCAGTCTTTCTTTAGTCATAAAAAGTAACAGGTTTCTGTTACTGGCATAGTAGGGGATGGTGTTCAGGGCCTCCCTACCTCTCCTCCCAGGGTTGCTCCTCTCCTTCCTACCCCTGTGCTTGGCATTGATGGGGTTCAGGACCTGCCACCCCCAAATCTGCAAGTTGGCATTTGAAAAGACAGCAGAAGCCAGAAAGTCACTCTTGTCTTCCCCACGCCTGTCTCCTGGAGTGGCAAAGAACGAGTTCTCCCGCCTCCCTGAGAAGTGGATCATAGGGTGCTCATTCAGAGGAGCCTTCCCTGCTCCAGGTGAAGGGAGTCACAGAGCCCCCCAGAAGCCCAATCAACAGGCTTTGCTGAGCACCCCAGATCTCACCCTTTTTCCTCCAATCCCACTTCTGCACAACTGTCCATAAAACACAATTTTCTCTTTCTTTGGGCTTTTGTTTCCCAAGGCTACCATGCCTCATAAACTCATGTGAAATAAACCTGTGGGCTTTTCTCTTTTTTTGATACTAGGGATTGAACTTGGGCTCTTGCACTTGCAAGGCAGGTGGTGGAACCACTGAGTTAAATCCTCGGCCCCTGCATGCTTTTCTGTTGTCACAGGGTCCCAGCCATGGACCTGTGATGCCTGAAGACGTTGTTCTGCTTTTCTCCCAGTAGCTCCTGCCCCTCTGCTCTCTGCCCCCATTGCTGTCCCATCAGCAGGAGTCCAAGGTCACCTTTCTCCCAGTTCTTCCTGTGCTCTCAGTGGCCCAGAACCGGCTTCCCTGGGCACAGGTTTTCATGGCTAGGGTGGCAGAGGCCCAGAGTGTAAATCCCAGGACTCACTCAGGAGGCTGTGGCTGGCACATTTCCCAGAGTGGGTGTTCCAACCTGTAGTGTGGGTTTCCTGGCTCATGTAGCTCTACTCTGGGTTTCTCTGCTTCAAGGCCGCAGACTTTACTGCACAAACCTCTCCTGTACGCCTACTGCTTTCTCTTCTACAGGATGGTTTGTTTTGTGTTTTGCAGTCCTGAGGATGAAATACAGGACCTCATGCACACTAGACAAGCACCCTATCATTGGGCTGCAACCCCAACCCCTACTGTTTTCTTAAGATTCAACTGTTCATGCATTTTTTTTTTTTTTTTTGCTCAGTCTCTGATCAGTGGCAAATCCCACTTTGCATCATATTCTGCTCCACTTTGGCATGGCGTGGATATGAGCTTGCAGGCTCGGGGCCTGAATGGCTGACCCTGGGACTGTGGTGCTGGTGGCCGGTTGCCTAAACTCCAGTTTGGTTTGGGTTGGATCTGTGCTCTGAGCCTCATGCTGGGCTCGGAGCAACAGGGATATCACTTTGGGTGACTGAAGGGTGTCCTTCAGTTCCTCAGCCTCTCTCCCTCTGGGTTACACATGTCCATGGTCACTTCCTCCTGATGGCTGGAAAGTATTAGGAAGTGGGCCTGGTTTTCTGCCCATCGTCGGGGTCTATTCATGAAACCTTACCGTATGAGAAAAATCAAAACAGCCAGTTAATATCAATTTCATTTTAGGTGATGAGGAAACTTTCAGCAAATACCAAAGCCACTGTTAGATTGCACTATGTTGGCGCCATGCAGTGAAATAAGAAAGTCACTAACAAAAAGATACCAAGTAAAAGCTTCTGTTTACACCAGGGATTTTAAAACACTGAGTAATTGAGGTCAGAGGAGAAACTATAATGGAAATGATAAAATATTTACAAATGAATAACTATTTTCTGAAAACACCACATTTCAAAACTTATGTGATGCAACTCAGTCATTAAAGGAAACTTTGGCTTTAAGTGTATTTGCTAGGAAAGCAGAAATTTTGAAAAAAAGGCAAAAGTTCAACATAAGATGTTAGTGAGAGAATAGAATATGCTCAATGAAGCAGAAAAATAATGACAAAAAATCAAAACAAATGGAATAGCCAGGAGTTATGGCACATGCCTAAGCCAGAATTCTGGGAAGCTGAGGTAGGAGGGTCTGCAGGTCTGAGCTCAGCCTGGGCAATTGAGCAAAAACTGCCTCAAAATTTAAAAATGGCTGGTGCTAGCTCAGTGCAAAGGGACTGTGCTCAATTTCGATTACTAGTACTGCAAAAGAAAAGCAGTAAATTAGAGACTCAAACCAACACTGTTCCTTTGGTGAGGGTGGATAGACAGATAAGTTCTGGCGAAAACAGAAGGACTGGGGCCCAATTGGCACCTTCCCTGCCCTTTGCCCTCTGACCTTAACACCTGGTGAGCAGAGCGCCCCCTGCCGTGGCCAGCATCCAGGAACACCTGCTGCCACCCAGCAGGAGGCCCTGTTCTCCACCAACCAGGGCCAGAGGAAGCAGGTGTGGCTGCAGGAGCTACTGAGTTGGGGCAGAGCCTCTTTGAGATCCACACAGCCCTGCAAGAGAGCTGCGACCTTCTCCCAGCAGGGCCTCAGCCGGCCAGGACAGTGACAGAGGAGTCTGCGAGATCAGGCACAGAGCAGGGAGCTTTGGGCCCCTGGGACCGGGCCGAATATCCCCCTGTTCAGTTCACATTCATGGAATTAAGCCCTCATGGTTTTGCACACCTGTATTTCCAGCACTCAGTAGGCTGAGGCAGGAAGACTGCTGTGAGTTCAAGGCCAGCCCAAACTAAATAGCCAGACACTGTCTCAACAAACAAACAAACATCACAGT